CTACCCTCCCCCAACAAGCCCTACACAAAGGTCCATGCCGCGTATAAGATAGGCCCCCTGCATCCATTTGGAGACCGCTTGGACATTTCATGGTTGTTGGAGTGAGACTAGATCCTGAAGCCATACATCCATCCCCGTCATAGATCCTTCTATACCGCACAGATGATTCCCGCAACGCCCTGTTTGGGCTTTTGTGTTTGTTTGGGAGAATGGCGTGCCAGCTCAGCTGGTAGACACCGCAGCGCGCGGTGCAAGCGACGAATCAATCGGACAGGCCAACCAACAAGCTGCGCAACGCTTCCAGCAAAAACTGCACAGCCAGTTCCCGAGATGAGGATTTCTCTGTTGGTCCTCCTCATGAAGCACCCAGAAGCAGCCATGTTTTGGGGAGCCGGCTCTAGCATCTTGGCAATGTTTCCATACCAGTTGTGTAGGAAAACCCTCGCGTGTAGACTCACATGTTTCTATCCTATCATCAATCAGCTACATTCGATTTGAATACCCTCCCCCACCCCCATGACCAAGCTCTGCCCTCGCCGAACATGTTGTGACGGCAATGCTTTTCGAGCGCCTCCTTTGCGGAGACGACATGCGTGAGTGTCTCGAAGCCATGGGTCCCGCATCTAGAGGTTCTTTTAAGGCGTTGTATGGCGGTGTAGAGACTCGGCAAAGTTGGGTGAACGGGAGTTTCTCAACATACTCCTATACATTGTAATTCTAGGATCCCTTAGGAAACCTCTGTTCTCGGAAGCCCTCAAATCAGGCTTTCGGATTATCAACTTTAGGGTGTTTAAGTTTACTAGAGGGATCCATCCCTCGAGGCCTTACTAAAAAGAGCGAAGGTTTAGGGTCAGTCCTTGCAACAGGAATCTACCAAGATCTACCAAGTTAACCCGTGCGTTTTAGCTCATACAAAAACATCTCATATAGCCTTCTTCGCCAGCCTGCTCGCAAGAATTCCGTGGCCAACCGGCTGTGTCCCCTGAAACTCCTCCTGCTTTTGCCGGCTGGCGTGCCCGCGCATCCTTTTGCTCAACATCCAGGAAATTGCATTAATTCGATCAAGCCACAACAAGCTGTCGCAAGTGATGCAGTCAGACGACATGAAGGCATTTAGGTTGCAAGCTTAGTGCAAGTTTAGTCATTTGTAAGCGCTTGGGCAGCGAAGGCCTGCTCGTAGCACCAAGACTGCAGGCTTTTTTCAAACACGGAAGAGGATTGAAATTGCGGAGGTTCAGCCTTTGCCCAAAACGCGTCTCAGAAATGTGGAGTGGAAGCTGTTGGTAAAGCACTTTTCAAAAACGTGGCCTGACATGGCACGTGGCTTCAACAGCACGCGACGCCGTGCCATTTACTGCTTCTGAAAGGCCTTCAGCTGAGAAGATGCTGGTTTTGACATCCCGACACATCTTTCCTAAAGTGGCTCCATGTCCGGGAAAGTCGAAATCATGTTGGTATCCTTCATGCAAAAACATCTGCATTCCAAATGCTTTAACGGAGGATTGTCAGGCTTCCCTGCCAACAAGTAAATTGTAATTTGCGAGTCCCACCCCTTTTTCTGTGTGGCAAGGTTTCATGGCTGCAGACCTCGAGCAGCCAGAAACGCAGCTCACGCAGCCTGCCAATGCTGCAATCGCCAAGGCACAGCGTCTAGGGTCTGGGATTCGGTCCAGGTTCTGGTGTAAATCGGTGAGTGTGTGCGCGCGCATACAGAAAAGACATATACATATATATATATATATAGATATAGATACATACATATATATATATACATGTATGTGTGTATGTTGAGACTATACGTGTGCAGGCGGCAGGCGATTGCTTCCTTTGGTAGGAAGCAGGGAAAAGACGAAGCTCAGGAACGAGACCATGTTGCCGTCTTGATCCCTACGGTGTTCCCCACCGTCAGCGATTTGGACGAGCCATGCCCTTGGCGCTAAGAAAAGCGGGCCAAGTGGTGGCTAGGTTACTGTATATTCTAGAGTCCCTCATATACTTATCATTTGGGTTGCACTAATCTTCCGTACTATGCAGCAGGGGCCATGGCATCCTGTGCTCTCCCGTCAGGAGACTACTAAGGACTAAGCCGGTGAAGATCAAGCAACACTTTCGAATGCAACCCAAAGCCCATGCTGTGTTTGGAATTCAGGTCTAAGAAGCCTGCGCAACGAGCGCCCTTCGAGCTGGGAGAGAGCCGCTTTCAGCAGCATTTCGCATGCCCATGAAGCGGTGTAATTGATTCAGTGCGCGGGATGGACAACCATGCATGCTGCCAGTGTGATGATAGCACAGATCTGCGATGCACAAAAAGACTTCACCTACGAACCTAGCCTGTAGAAAGATGGTACAAGACAATATGGCCACTTGATGGACCGGGGTGCGTGGCAGGCCATAGAGTTGCAGCGGCTAACTACCCCATATGCCTTGAGAAGCATATTGGGGAACAAAGCCTTCCCATTTCATTCAAGGAGTCTTCCGCAAGTAACTGCTGAAGGCTCAAAGCTGATCATCGGCCGCGATAGAAGGTCAGACATCGTGGCCCGGGGCTCAGTACAGCCAGGGGCCCCATTTTTTGATTTTAGATCTGGGGTCCCCTTCAGTATATCTTAAATGTCTCTTTGGATCATGGTAGGATACTTTTTCGCAGGAACCACCCCCACAAAAAACGGAACCTGCAATCTCAAAAACGCTGTGATTGCCGAGGATTCTTTATTAAAGAGCCCCTGACATATGATATTTGCTGTGGCTCCTCCAGCTTTCAGAAGTTGTCTTACCACGTTCTGTTCTGTCTCGTGTTGAGGGTTGAGAGCCTCAGCAGTTGAATTACCGGGTCTGGGGCTCACGCTCTAAAGTCTGACTTCATGCAGCCCTCAGAAAAGTTGAGATATTTGCTGTGCATGCAATGCGTCCCTGCATATGTTGCCAAGCAAAGGTTGCAGATCCGCGCTGCTTCGATGCACACAGAAGGATACTTCTCAATAGGTACCCCCTCTCACTGCCTAGGCTGTTTTTAATCTAGGGGTGCGGCAGAGGGATTCATGGTTCTGCACCGACCGTTTGAATCCCTATGATACTCGCCTCCTGCACAATCCTGCAGTCCCTCTACTGCATGTTTCCGAATGCAGTCTTTGCCGTGACTTTTTGTGCAGGCTGCAAGTGCGGGTGGACAGGGGCAACAATAATTGTAAAGGTCGCTGGAGGTCCCTACGTGTGATACGGGCTCTAGTATACCCTATTGATGGTCCAAAAAGGGGCTCCTGCTTTGGGATAAACTGTACTGTGCATACTTGGAAGTCGTTCTTACTCTCGCATGGGGCACGCACCTTAGGCTCTGATTCGCCTGTGTCTTTCCCTGTCCAGGCTGTTCACGACAGCGCGGGGCCCAGCCCAAGTTTCGCCGAAACAGAAGTTCTGGACATTCAAAGATGACTACAGAACCTACAATGTGACGGCAAGATATTCGCTGTAATGTGGATTTATACTCTGCCATTTTGGAGGAAAAGCAATTTAGCCAAACTCTTACTTTTCATGGCCTGACAACCCGTGCATGTCCTAGCACTTTGACAAACACAAAAAGTTTTTCTTGATCAGCCCTTTGATTTCGACAAGCTCCTCGCACTACTTCGTCACTCGTTGTACCCATTTCAGAAGCCCTATCCCATTCTGATCATGGACCTCGGTAGACTGTAGCATCACAACCTAAACTCTATGTGTATGTATATGTATATGTATGCTTCGCCTTCGCAAGGCTGCCGTTTTTTCCTGAACTGTCTGTTGAAGACATCGTTTGCAATTCCAGGTTCAGTCAAAACCGTCGTTGGGGTTGTGGGTCTAACATTTGGGCTTAGGGCTCAAGGCTTGCTCTAGTGTCCTCTAGTCTTGTTCGCATGATGAAGTTTCCGTGCTTGAGCAGTGACCTCTCTTAACGGTCAGGTGTATAGGGGCCTGCAGGATTTCAGCATCAACCCTACCCCCTGAGACTAGCGGGCCCCAGGACCATTATTGTAGGCTCTTGGCAGTATTGGAAAGACCATCTTCTGCGACATTTTGGGAGCTTCTGAAATCATTGCCCCTTGTCTTTTTACGTGGCTAAGGGTTTGGGATCTTGGCTCTAAGGCTTAGCAGTTCAGGGCTACTGGGAATTCCATTATAAATTAGGAGTCGACTACAATGCAGAAGCTTTGAGTCCCAAAAGTTCTTTGTGGTGAGGACACATACTTGGGGCTCATGCGATTTGCAACTGAAGTTAGGGTGACGACCCTAGCTGTAGTACTCTCTAGCTGTCCTCGTGCAGGTTGCGCTGGTCATAAGCCGGCATGTAACCTAGCGACCTTGTCATGATGTTACAAGTAGTAGGGCAGAACCCCGACCCCGACTATAACTAGCTTATGAACTTCCAAGGAAGTTTTGCTTATCGCGCACGAGGCATTTGCAGGTGTACCGCGACACGGACATTGGCATGTTTTTGGTGAAGCAGCTGGGAGCCAATGGCTCCTGGGTAAACACCAACAGGCCTCCCGCTCAATCATGCAGGGCTGACAGGGTGGAGGATAGAGACCAAGTTTGAGATGGTGGGCGTCCCCATGTTTGGCTTAGAGACAGCTGACTACCCAAGTTACTTGCAAGAATATTCGACCCCCAGTTGCCATTCGGCATTGCCCAGCCGGTCTGAGTACGAAGCATGCTGCTCATGCTGCGCGATCTACCATGCCTCTGCCCTATTAATTGGCTCACAAAGTGGCACTTGCCGCTCCACTGTAACAGCAGCCACTTCACCAGTTCGATTCACCAAACAACAAGGGCCTTCAAAAAATGAGGTATTCCACATCCAATTGAGAGCATCGAACTCGTTCCGTGCTGAGCATGCAATGCCGCTGGCATTTGGCATACGGCAACATCGGCAACCTGGCCAACGACGAGTGCATGCTGCAATTGCTGTGACTGCGATAACCGCATTGGCTCGCTTGCAGACTTCAAGCTTTGCATATCCTGTGCCACGGATGCAGGGCTCCTTGATTGAGCCGGAGCAGTGTGAGGAGATTGCGTACGATTGCTGGGAACGCGCAAGAGTAGATGAGAACATTACCTCAGACCAGTTTGACAAAGTACGGACGGTCTTTGGCTATGGCTCACTGATTTTCCGTCCGGGGTTCCCGTACCAACGTATGTACCCCGCATGTGTCCGCGGATACCTTCGGCGATTCTGGCAGATGTCCTGCGATCACAGGGGAACGCCCGAGTTCCCAGGCTTCCCGCAACCTTGAACTACCGAATGCTTATTAGGAGGGAGTCATGGAATGGATCCCCACAGTAGTCCCTCTGCAAAACGCAAGAACAAGACTTGTGCTGGATTTACATGGGACGTACGCATGCGGCATGCCCACTCTAAGTTTGTCCATGATCCCACTACAGGCCGTGTCCTGGCCTTGCTCAGAACTCAGGCACGGGGGCTGCCAAAGGCAAATTTTCGGCCCTGCTTACATTTGAGGGTGCAATGTCCATTTCAGTGTGCATAGCCGCTTTTCCTGGGATACATACAGTGGTGTGAGGGCAGGATGCTCTGACAAGCTCCCTTTTTCCTTGGTGGGAGCTATGGTTAGCAGGATTTGTCGAGCACTGGTGCTCCTCCAAGTCATATAAAACAACAACTGGGGCATCGCCGTCGAAAATAAGCACCAAACCTGTCTGCGAAGGGAAGTGAAGAGGCCCTGCGAGCATGGTTCCTGTTGCCCGTCTCTTTCTCAAAACAGGGATCGCCTGGTGGCACCCCTTCTGCGGCCCAACATTCCTGCATCCTTATTCAGTACCCCGAGAATGCATCCATGAACCCTAAATTGTGCCCTAGGAACTGTTTCAAGTTCCTGGTGTGGTCAGGATGTACGCCAGGTTGCAACTGCCGATGGAGAGGACGTTGTCCACGGTATGGCTTTCGAGGCAGGAGGTTGAGCCCCAGGATATCCCTTAATGCGGACTCTTGTACGTAGGCTATGGATGGTAACATGAGGAGTACCTCTGAATATTGGAGCTAACATGTAAGGGCCCTATGCGTTTTTTTTTGATATTTTGTGTAGGAGTTTCTCGACGTTATCTCTACAAACTCCTGAATAGAGAAACCCTCAAGCTCTTTATTGTCCCTGTAACTCTCTTGGGTGCCACAGCATCCCCTTGCTTGGAACTTGGAACCCCGGTTTGGAAGAGGGTGCGCAAAGTGCTCCTTTTCTGTCTGTCAACACTGCTAGGCCTATCACAGGTACCTGCTTCAGGTGGCGACCACATCCCCCCCCCCTACACTTCTTTCTCATACGCCCTCCTTATAATACTGACATTCATATTTTGGTCCACAAAGCTGTGTATTGCCGCGAGGTGGATGCCACAGACTGGCCATCTGTGTTGGACACCTTGGACATCCGCGAGAGGCCCCACAGAGCGACATAACCATGTTGATATCAAGAACAGTAGGCAGCATAAGAACATTACAGTGGATAGCAGAACCAACAGTATTAGTATTGCAATCAGCAAGCACTAGAAGAGATATGTTCCCAGCTTAAAGCTTGGTTTGCCTCGAACAGTACTGCATTGTGCGAAATCGAACCTGTTTTACAGATTCAGCTCGGAGATTCGGGGACGCTTTTCTAGAGGCAAACCGGTGACAGGCATGGATACACGCGGACCCTGACGAAGCTCTACCCAACCAGCAGCGACTTTGGGGCCTCTGACTCCTGCGGGGAAGCTGTCATCTACTATACCTATGACCCGGAGCCATGGCGATGATGTGAATGTAGGGTGCAAGGTTCAGGACGTAGGATTGTTCAGGATTGAGGGCTTGAAGTTATGCAATGGCAAGCACTCCTTGGTTATTAGTTGAGCATGGGGAGGGGGCATAGGTGATAGGGCTCAAATTCGGTCTTCTCTTATACGGGTGGACTGTTGCCCCAAAACACAACGAAGTACCAGGTAGATGAACCGAAGGTCAATTTTCGAAAGTGGTTACACGAATCCTGAAACAATCCTCAAAACGGTGTCGTTGCGCCGTAAAGTATGACGCCGAAAGGGAACCTTGATTTAGACAAGGGCCCCGATCGTGCACTTCGAAACCACGCGCCGAGAACAGAACATTACTTCATTACTTCGGAGACATTGGGAGAGAGAGAGAGAGAGAGAGAGAGAGAGAGGAGGGAGAGCGAGAGAGAGAGAATGTACGAGGAGTGCAGTGCGGCCTATGCCGGTCCAGAGGATGTGGAGGCGACAGCGGAGGTCTCCGGAGCTTCCAAAGTCTAACTGGGAGGTTGGTAGTGCTTATTAACTACTTGCCACTGGCCTTGCTTCAAGTATCTTCTATCAGTATCCCTAGCTGAATTTCTATAGGTTATCCCAGGTACAGGCAGGTTTCGAACTCCAGTTCCAAGATGTTCTAAGCACGTAGTGTTTGTTTCCCTTAAACCGAATAAGGACCCCTTCTTGTCAGGGAGGGCCACGAGACCTAAACTAGATGCCTTACAGCCTCACTTTTTGGAAGCCCGTAGGTGATCGCAAGGGCAGCTGGTCCTTCTGGGCCCAATGACGAGCACCTGAGTGGAAGTTTTGCATTTTAGGTGCAAGCTTAAGATGGAAGCAGGCATAAGGTACCGCTAATGTCTGTGCATGAGGGGGGTTGGGTTCTTGTTAAGTGGCAAATGCTTTGAGCACTAGCTTGGGGGTGGGTGTGTGGGTTTGTCGGCTGGGGTCTTCGGGCTCAGATTTTAGGGAGGGTGTAGAGGTGTTGGAGCGGAATTGTGATTTCTTTGTGTCCTTGGGGATCTTGTTACATAGGCCTCCGTTTTCTAGATGACCCCCCTCACTAGCAAGGTCCTGAAATTATGTGTTCCGTTGGGAGGCCATCATGAGTAGTTGAGGCTAAGCTACGTGCATTCTAGTTTGGTTATCAATGTGCGCCATGTTTCAAGGCGTGCCTTGTGCATGCTGGAGGCCAGCCACTGCAAAGAATTTTCCTGTGTTGGTGGAATCTGTCATGCGATTGCGTCCAACAAATCAAACACGCATTCAAACTTAATAGGTCTCGAGCCATATTGTCCAGGAACTCGCATTTGAGCCCAACCCAGCTGCGTTTCAGGTATCTCTTCTCGCTTGTGGAGGCGGCTTGGCGTTCTGTGATTCCCGGAGACTGTGAGATGGCCCGTTTATCGTTCTGTTCAGGGTTCAGGGTGTCAGCCCCGAGAACGGGGACCATGATTTGCGCAACGCTTTCTCCTACGCCTGGTAACGTAGAAGCCTGTTTAAAACCTAAGCGAGGGCCCTGGATGTGTGTCGGGGAATTCCTCTACAATCCCTCATAGGAGCATCCCCCAGTCTGGAATCCCAATATGTGATTGAGGGATGCGCTCAGTGCGCGAGCATGCGGCTCATAAAACCCAGGGGCCAGCAGGGAAATCCCACTCCAGCCGAGCCTTGCACCCGTGATGGCGGTTTTGCGATTTCGCAATCCAGCAAAAAGCATGGTACATTCGTTAGATGGGCCATGACGAGCTCCAGGACAGGGGCGCTTTTCAACCTGCGTAAAGCCGGCTTTCATCGTGGGACCCGGGGTCACGTTCGAGCTACCTCGCCTGGAAATATGAGTATCCAGTCCAGAGTGCGGGCAGAGCTGCGACGTCCTCTCCTCACGGCTGCCCCCACAAACAACTACAATGTTAGCACTGAGCTAGCAGCAGCATCATTTGGGTTTGAGCCCCAGTCTGTGCCTACAGAACCTCAGACGCCTTGGCCTTTCAAAGCCTCAAAACACCTAAAAAGGATTTCACAGACCGAAAAGCCTGCAAGTGGCCATCTGCTTCTGAGGCACTGAAGGAGTTTGACCTGCCAGAGGATGGATATCTGATCAAGCTCCTTGCTGCAGTCAAGCGGAGGAAAGCGTGATTCGCCAGAGACCTGAAAAGGAGCCCGTTGCCTCTCTGCACTTGACAGAGGATTGCAACTTAAGTTAAGCTTTTATCTCATTTATCTCTTAAGCGGTCCTCAACTTGAAGGAAACCCGCGGACCCCCTTCTGACAGGGCTGCTTTCTAAACGCTGTCGACTTCCATGGGGAACAATGTTTGTTAAGGGGGAGCGCAGGAGTGTACAGTGTAGACCCCACATAGCCCGCCATATGACGTCAGAACACAGTCCACACAAGTCGAATCCAAGCCGCCTTTACATGTAACAGGTAGGCTAGAACTATTCCCATCATCTTCATAGCTTGCATATATATATATATGTTACACCCCAAATTTGCTTCCTTTACATACTTGAGCACCCCTGGAATCGCAGAGGCACAGGAATTTTCCAAAATCCTTGGACATCCCACATGCCCGGTTCCACATATTATGATTTCGCTGGGTACCAAATCCTTTGTTGGAAAACTACATAATCCAGTATAAAACTAGGCATGCGCCCTTTCACATTCCAAACTTCCCCTACTCCTTTGCGCCCGCAAAGCTCTACTCAAAACACTGTGTGAGTTTTATCCTTGACCGCATGTGCTATGGCGTTGCTGGATACTTGACCCTTGCTGAGATGAAGTCCTACATGGCCCATACCAAATAGGTGTTATTCACTTGCGCTTTCAAGCTCCTATCTTAAAAATGACTGACAATTTCATAATGAGAAAGCTACATGATGAAACTACCAGCAAGGATCATAGTCTGAATGCGGATAACACCCTACCTCACACAAGCCAATCCCTGCGCAATGTGTGAAGAATCCCCATAGCAAACTCAAACTCAATAGAACCACTTGGGCCTTGTATTGTTAGCCAAGTATCCGTAAGACGAATTCCTCAATAAGGACCTCTAAAGCAGCTCACAATAAGGATCCCTAGCAGCTAGAGAGGAAACTATATAGGCTTTGTGTTACAGTACCACTCTACTCAGTCCTTGCGTTGCCACTCAAATATCCGTAATACGAATTCCTAGATGAGGATCTCTAGTGAGAACGTTTGCAAGTAGCTCACAGGGAGGATCCCTACAAGGACCTCAACTGGGCATTGTACTACCAATTCTTTTAACGAGACTCTTGACACAAGCATTTCCCAATGAAGATCCCAATGGTTGCACGGACCTAACATAGCTTTTTTATTCTCATCGGACTGTCTGTAGTATGAATGCCGCGCAAAGATCTCCAACGAGAACTCACATTCAGGATCCGCAGCAAGGAGACCAATCGACAAGCCTCAATATGGGAACCAATCAAGACGCTTTACTTACTTCTAAATCTTATCCCTTGTCAACTCCTCAAGAAGCACTCCTACTCAGGATCCAACCCTACAAGACCTGTAACCCTGAGTCAGGATCCCTGGTTTAGGTTCCTATGCGGGACGCTAGGAAGTCTGATAGGCTCTGTTACTCCGGGCATCGGATAATTACTTAGCTACTAAGTGTCTATGTCTGCAATCGAAGGCGTCAATATAAGAACTAGAATTTTGAGATCCTTTACTGTAGCATGTGCTGGAATCTTCAAAATCAGAAAAATGTCTATCAAACATAGTGAGAGATTCATTGAATGCAGACTCTAGTAAGCTATATTACAATATGAGTTTCTGATGTTCGGAATCCAAGATTCTAAGAGGGGGGATCCTTCTTTGGGATCTTGGATATGATTCTTGGCTCCCAAAAATATTGAAGAATTCAGCTTTACCATTCGGAATCCAGGACAGTAAGACTCTAAGATTCTGCGGAAGTCTTTCTTGCAATCTGGGATTCCAAATTCCGAAAGACGAAGACATCCAGGATTGTAAGATTCTGGAAGGCAAGAATCGATCAGAATCTTAGAATATTGGATTACAAGTATTGCAAATTTGTATCTTTGATATATCTCATATTTTGACAGCCAAGAATCCAAGATGACAACAAAGAGTCCACAGAATCTTTTCAGTCTTGAGCTCGGATACCAAACATTCATATTTGAGTATTTTCAAACGTTTCTAATTTCCTTTGGGCGCCAAGAATCCAAGATTCCAAGAAAGCGTCCCCCAGAATCTGACAATCCTGGATTTAGATTCTTAGAAACTAGTCTGGTTAACACTTGTGTAAATATTCGTAAGATTTTGCATTGCTTCAAAGCGCTTATGTATGCAATTTCCTGCTATAACATCAGAGCGTATCAAAAGGTAGGATCTAGGATCTTGACGGGTACCATATGTATACATATAAATATATATGTATTTACGTATTTATATACATATCTACCGTATATTTCATGTGTGGTACATATATATATACATATCTACTAGATCAGCCGCATAAAGCTGAGGCTCTTTCCTAAGTCAAGTTGGTGGCCGCAGGCTGAGCGAAGGTGAAACCCGTGCCCTTTGCCACGGGGACGAGGCGCTCCGTCACCAGAGTATGGCATTTCGAGTCTAGGATGTGAGACTTGATATATACACGTGTACACATACATATTCATGAACATGTCAGGTGGTCTGTGCGGAATGCTGGGATTTCTCTTGCCCATTCCAGACAATGGTCTAGAAAACGCTTCCCAATTCTGCACGTTCTTCTGTACGGCAGATCTCCTTGGTCATCCCAGCTCACACATCTGATGATGAGAAGGCTCGCAAGTGTCCAGCATGTTGTTCGGTGCGCGGTCCAATGATAGCTCGCTCCACCGAGTTTCTGCCTTCCTTGAAAGGCCTGCACTGCTTGGGTTTTGAAGCCAAACAGCCTTGCACTTTGATGACCTTTCATCATGGGAACCTTAGTGTTGACTTCATTGCTACACCCCCTCCTCCCACGATTTATCTATCTTCATTGTGGGGGGGCCCTAGATAATTCTGCCAAAAGCGTTGGTTTAAACATCTACACAGAATTAATTGCGGGATTGTGTATGCAGCCGCACAGAGACGAAAGTTAGAAGCTGGTGTGTTCTTGTCCTCCGCAGCAGCGCCAAAACCGACTGACTGAGTGAATGCAGGGTACGGCTTGGATAAAACATGAATCAGTTATTATAATCTAATCAAGGTGGATATCCCAAACAATTATCAATTTCCAGAATCCTATAATTGTGGGCCCAGATAATTTTGTTCCGGCGGCGGGATTCTAAATTTGTGGCTCGTCCTTGATGTGAAGCCAACATTATTTCCGAACAAGGACGTCCTGTTTTGGGAAGCTGTCAGTAAGAAACGATTCGAGACTTGCACCCCCTCAAAACCAACTGCCGCGAGGCCTTCGCGGTATTCGTCTTCCGGGAATACTCGCCGCAGGACTACTAACAGTTTGAGGTTTAGAATTGTGGGGTTATGGGCTTTGGGGTTACAGCAGGTTGGGACTTCCTGAGGTTGGATGAGCACACAGCAAGCCCAATTCTTGCTGAGTGACAAGCCTTCCCTGAATCAGATCTGGGATCCTAACATGATTTGAGGTGCGTGCCTTTGTCCGTGAGAGGCTATTGGGGTCTACCACTTCTTGAGAAAACCATCAGACTTCAACCAAAAGTCAGAAAAGGCCCTGACTTGAATCGTAAGCTCAGCTGCGCAGTGTACTTCCAAGAATCTGGGAATGGCGGAGCTTACGAGAAAGGCTCTGCCGCGGGTGTTGTAGGCAGAAACCACGTCAACAAGTTGCGTTTGAGGAAGAGTTGCTTCGACTGCCGACAGCTTTGAAGCGGCGGAGGTCAGCTCAGCAGTTCAGGGCTTTATACCCCTCAACAGGCGATGGTGGATTGAAGCTAGGTGCATCAGGATCTATTGAGCGTCCACAGGTCAGAAAACCCATTACTGAAAGCGGGGGTCGTACGCAGGGATCCAATTGCTTCGAGAACATTCGCATCCCTCGAAGTTGTTTCGTGGTCCCTGAAGCGCGAGTGGCAGCCTAGTCGATACTTCTCTGCTACTAGCATTGTTGTGGTGTTTGATGCCTTACACAACTAAGTATTGCGATACTGGCATGCTGTAGGCGCCCAGCTTGCCTCCCAGTGCTTTGCAAGGACATGTCCACCAGACGATCCTGCTGCCACGATTCCGGGCCTGCGACACAGGATATTGAACTCAAAAACCAGGTCCCTGTATTTACTATTATAAGCACAGAAAAGTGTAGACTTTGCTTTTGAGAACCCCCCAAATTTGCGATTTCAGGTGGCCTTCGGGGCGCCCTTGCCGGATAAAGCATGTATTTGGGATCATGCTTTGGTGATATCATGTGGTGCTGTTTCCCTAATCGGCGTGGAGTGCTGAGGAGAAGCCGCTGTTTGCGGCACCTCGGACGGACAGGCAGGTGAGTGGTGTTCTACCATACAGTCTGCTGCAGAAATCTGATGTATGATGAGTCTTTCGGAAAAGCTGGAGATGCTTGAAAGACATTGCTGTTCTTACGAGTTCTGTGCCGCCCCTCGTTTTGGATGAGACAAAGAAGCGTACGACACGTTCTCACGGCGATGGCAGGCCTCTTTATCCTCCCAACACACCGCTGCTCAAGTTCAGGCTTCCGCAACTTGTTCAGGGTCTTGGGGGATCAGGCTCATTTTGGAGGGGGAGCAGGGTTTACGGCTTAGGGTCTGATGGAAGACAGCCCGTGATGTGGATTTGCAAGTGGTGCTTGTTCATGCTCTGGTGGCATTGGTTTCTTTGTCTGTCCTGAAGATATGTCTTGTTTGTATGTCCTGACAGGCTAGCTTGCGTTTAAAATCTGATGCGTAGTGCCTCGTTTTGACGCAAGATGCAGTCGATTACCTTCCCCTTACCTGACCTGGAATCTTTTGCTTTGGGGGTTACATGTTTCTTGGAAGGTTTGCGCTTTCCTATCTCCTCTCTATACACTCTCTGTAAGCCCCTCTTCGGGTTCCATCATGGTCTGGGGGATGTGCGCTTCATCCCGGCACAAACTTGGAAGGCGCAACGGCCCGGGAGTACCTGCAGCAGTACTAGCAGCAGCAGCACGGAGAATC